GTGCAATCCTGACTTGAGCATTGAGTAGAGTTCTAGAATACGACCCTTAAAGTAATGCACCCAAATGAACACCCTTGATAAGAAATTTAAAATAACTATAAAATGAGGACGATATTATTAGTAATTGTTAAAAGTGACATACTAGCTTGGCCATGGCACGCGTTTTGGTCCTCGTAGTTCTGGAAGCCAGTTCTTCGAACTGCTGCACCTTTTCCTTCACTGCCGATCTGTAGCAAAAATATGTTTTATAACATTGGCAGATTGATAAATGTACTACTTTTTAAAATTTTATTTATTTATTTAGGGTAGGTTTCATAATCATACTCTCATAATCGAGATACGAGATTGAACTGCCTCCGTGGCCGAACGGTTACCACGCAGAGGTACCAGGTTCGATTCCCGGGCCGGGAGAAATAGTTGTATGGCCTACAATTATTTCTCTCGTGAGTTTGGGTGTAATTTGTGGTTGTCTATGTGTCCATGGCACCCGCGACACGGGGTTTCAATAGTGCGGGGCTATGTTGAGTGTGTGCGTTATTTATTATTTATTTATTATACGATCTGCAATGATACAATTATTTTAAAATGGCACGACAATACTGTCATGATGAATACCTTATTTTTTTACATATCAAGTGATGGGGAGTCGTGTGATGGTAAGCTACACGCTTTTCCATAATAATTGCAGTGCCACTCAGAGCTTTAAATCACAAAGATCTGAGGGGCACTGCCACTGCGTCCGTCTGTCGTAAGACATAACGACCCCTCCTACGTAAAGTATCGTATGTCGAAATTGCCAAGTTTACAGGGGAGCGTTTTAAAGTTCTCCGTTTTGTTTGGCAAAACCTCATTACTGACATAGAGTGATCATCTAGTAGATCATCTAACCGATATCTAGGATTTAACAATACTCTATGCGAGTAACAGGCTTTGCCGAATAAAACTGAGAAATGCTAAAGTCACGTGTTATGCTCATTGCAGTGAATTGAGAACTTTAAAACGCTTCCCTGTAAACTTGCCAATTTCGACATACGATACTTTACGTAGGAGGGGTCGATAAGTTGACAAGTCCCACGTGCCTTTAATTTCACCAGCGTCCTTACCCTTCAAAACCGGAACGCAGTAATGCTAACATTACTGCTTAGCGGCAGAAATAGGTAAGGTGGCAGAAGAAACTCTTTCACAACGACCTCATCACAGATGTCAATCGCCTTATGCCAAATTTTATTTAATATGAAAAACACTATCAGTTTCATTTTGTGTGTAATTTTTTTTTTTTTGTCAATAACCCAAAAATTACTATGAGGATACGATATGTTCATATGAACCATATTTAAGTGAAATATTTTATTATTGAAATTGATATTTATTACGTAATAAACAAAGTTGAGTTCTGATACATGTATACAACGCCAGGCTAGACAGTGTAGGCATAGGCAGGGGTGTCATTATGCCGGGCGGCGTCGTGGTGAATGTTCACTGATCCCACGGCGCCGACTCAACCGGCGAGAGGGAAACCCGGGGGGGGTTTTAGTGGGGTAGGCCTTCCAGTGTGGAGGGAGAGTCCCCACATAACCCCTGAGTCTCCCTGGGCTCAGGGGTATCCATAAAGATTTCCCCCCCGTCAAAAAAAGAAAAAAAAAAGAAAAGGGGTGTCATTATGTCATAAAAAAAAATACTGTGCAATAGTAAATCAATTTCATCACTCATAAAAAAAAATTCAAGCAAGTCATGTTCCAGCAATGTAACCTATTAATGCATTTTAGTTACTTTTGATGTTGTAAAATTATGATTTCTTGAAACTCACGTGGGTAATGCTGTAGGAATAGGCTTCGGCGGCGTCTGGGGTTCTTCATCGATGGCACTGTTATCTTCTGTCAGGATTGAACTGTTGTCGTCCGTCACATTTGTTGTTGGCTCTGCGACAGATAAGGCATGTTACAAAAAACTTCAAATCGACAATAACAATACAGGTGAGATGTGATAAATAACCCTATGTCATCATAACATTGCGCATTTAGAATTCTAATAATCTCAGTACCGAGTACTTAAAAAACCGACCTCAAAGGTACGTGAACTTACATGTAATTACAAAGTTTTATTGGAATCAGTTACCAGAAGATGCGCAAACCCGGATTCATCCCCTAGTTCGCCACTATACGGGACTTGACTCACAGTATATTATGAGAAAAAAACGCCTTGAATTGGAGAATAGCAAAATCAACCATTAAAATAATTGCTCCTTATTATAAAATTTAGGCGCTATTTATAAAAATGAATCTTCATGCGTGAACAGCCTTTAGAGGTGGATGATTTTCTTCAAAATTAAATGGAGGTACCCTCTATGGACCACTAAGGAGGTACCCTCTTTCCAACAAAAAATCATGAAAATCGGTTCACAAATACCGGAGTTATCGCGTAACAAAAAAAAAGAAAAAACGTACAGTCGAATTGAGAAACTCCTCCTTTTTTTGAAGTCGGTTAAAAATCACGCAATGGTAAAAGATGTTAAGTCTTATCGTCGTTTGTTTTTTATTTAACATATTTTATTTGACCTTAAGATTGAGTTAAAAATGCCTAATTAATAGCCTCATTCACTTTAAAACTCTCAGTAGATAAAAAAACACTATTTGGTACTTATGGTTCTTTACCTCTCACTAAACAACCACCACTAATTAGCGGGACTCAAACTAAGGAATTTCCTGTACTGAGAAGAGCAATGGAATTCGCTACAGTACGCCCAGAACAACCAGACGAAAATCAATTAGGTGAAATTCCTACAACTGCGCTTACGTTTGTGCGGACGGTGTGCACCTTTAAATATCCTGCGTATATGACCGCTTTTTTTTGACTTCCGATTTTCTACGCATCGAATCTAGCACCCACCGACGGACCCCTAAGGATGTCAATAACAGTTGAAAATTTAAAACAACAAATGGTCGCGTATCAAATTTTAACTGCATATATACATACTGCCACGCCCATCTCCCAGTGGGGTACGCAAGCGCTGTGGATTCCTCTATAATCAAATAGATACCCAGTTACATTACGTAAATAGAGTCAATTTTCATATAGAACAAAGTTGCGTTGTTTAAATTAAATTTACAGCTTCATTGGAGAAAAGTTTAAATAAATTATTTCTAAAAATGTTCCTTACATTATTGTTACTCGTACTTTTATTTCCTTGAGCTCTACTGCTGGTACAAAATTTTGAAATACCCTTTTTGTAGAATGATTTGAGTGGAGTAGAATGGATAAGAGAAAAATGGCAACACCAGTGGAGTGGCCATTCGAGTGTTCATTTAGAAAAACGGTATTAATGAAAGTAAAGTAATGTAATTCAAAACAATATTATTACTTACTTTCAGAATCAAACTTTGTAATTACTTTCTTTTACATTATTAAATCATACGACACATGGTAATCTAGAAAATCTTTAGTAGCAGTAGAGTCCTTGTGAAAGAGTTCGTCCAGGGAAGTACTGCCACCTTATCTATTTCTGCCGCCAAGCAGGTCAGCATTACTGTGTTCCGGTTTTGAAGGGTAAGGGTGCTGGTGAAATTTCAGTCACATGGGACTTATTAACTTACGTCTCAAGGTGACGGGCGCAGTGGCAGTGCCCCAGTGTCTTTACGATTAAAGCTGCAAATATTATGGACAGGCGTGTCGCTTACTATCAGGCGTACGACTTATTCGTCCCACCACTTGATCTTATAAGTCATTAATAATAAGGCATACATTCATAGCCCCGTAGTAGATAAACCCTGTATCGCGGGTACCATGGACGCACATATAGACAACCACAAATTATATCCACACATAAATGTAGGCCATACAAATATTTCTCCCGAGCTGGGAATCGAACATAGGACCTCTGCGTGGCAGTCCAGTAGGGTTAACTGTTCGGCCACGGAGGCAGTTTAATACAATTGAGGATGTCAGCGCAAAAGTCGTTTTATGTCGTCGCTTAACATCAGGTGAGATTGTGGCCAAGCGTGTGTCTATTATATATTAAAAAAAAAAAAGTGGTGTGTAACCCACATAATTTTTTTTTCTACAATATTATTTTAAATGATACTAAAGTTTGTAATTATTTTATATTTGGATATTATTTTTATGTATAACATCCCCATAATAAATGACTGTTGCTCCATCTTACCTTTGTCAATAACGACCGTAGCATCGTTGACTTGTGTGTGCTTCTCCAGTACTATTGTCTCTCGGCACGTTTCTATTACCACAGTTTCGTTGTTGCACTGCAAATTCAAAATAGAAGTGTCAGACCGATAGACGTCAAAGAATAAAGGTTCTTTTAGACCATAAGTTCCCAAAGTTTTTGATAAAAATATTTCGACGCCCACCATAACAAAAAATAATTGAAAATACGATTTTTTACATTAATACAAAAAATTACAACGAAAAAAAAATACATTTGTAGTATAGTTTATATATATCATTAATAATCTTTATTGACTCAACATAATTGCATGCTATCTTAAAATTAGGTGACATTATTACACATGGAACATATTATTATAAGGTTGAATTTTAGCGTCCGTACTAATTTTAAATAAAACTGTATTACAGGCGCTACGTCTTCCTCCGGATTTAGTTACAAACATTATAATGCCAAACATTCTACACGATAAAAGATTACAAGCAAAAGTATGAGTGTGACAGTGCGTGCGTGTGTCATTCATTAAACCATAGCTCCGAAATATGTATTTTGTGTACATACGTTTGTTTATTGACAATATCTTTTCTTTTTTTTTATATAATATCAAGCGTCGGGACGAACAAGTCGTGCGCCTGATGGTAAGCTACACGCCTGTCCATAACAGTTGCAGTGCCACTCAGAGCTTTAAATCGCAAAGATCTGAGGGGCACTGCCACTGCGCCCGTCACCCTGAGACATAAGTTGACAAGACTCATGTGCCTGTAATTTCACCAGCACCCTTACCCCACAAAACCGGAACACAGTAATGCTGACGTTACTGGGTTCACAAGGTGCTCTACTGCTACTTATCATCTTAGAATAATAACGCATAGAATGATAGTTTCATATCAAACGAACTGTCACAAGTGAGGCAAAAACCAAATTCATGTAGGCTAGTTTTAGTAGTAGGTTAATTTTCGGTTTTAGTGAATATTTATATAAACATACAAGTTGAAACGCGTTACTTCCTTGTGGAATGTGATGTTAGTATCTATTTTATGTTTGTCTGACGTATTTTTACACTCATTTACCGCACATTTCGTCATTTTTAGCTAAAATTCTTGATCTGTTCGCGGTGCAAGTTGACCTTGAGTACTGACGGCCCGCCCGCTCGTGTAGACCCTTTTGGCGCGCTTAAATTTGCCTCACTTAGCGTGTGCGGACTAGGTTTCTATGCGTTATTATTCTAAGCTTATAATGTTAAACTAATAGCGATCTGTTTTAAAAACACTTACGATGTTGGTAGGCGTAACCGGAGCGTGGTTGTAGACTCCAATAGGCAACACCATGGTTCTGTCCATTTCGTTGTTAATCGTCACCGTTACATTCATTTTATCATTAACTATCATCTTCGTTTCGTCAATTGCAATATCATTACTGACCACTAATTCTTTTTGTTGTTCTGCAATCTCTTTTTTGGATTTGTTTTTCTTTTTGTCATTAGAGTTCTGTTTTGGAATTTTGGATTCTTTTTGCGGTTTGCTGTTTGATTCTTCTGTTTGCACTTTGCTCTCATTCTGCTTATTCTCGCCAAGTTTTTCTTCGTCGCTCTTTTTGAGGTTTGTTTTGGATTTTTCTTTAACAGGAAGAATGGGCGAAGACGGCCCAGTTTGTGTTATTCGTTCTTCTTTTAACGATATGGTTTCAATAGGTTTCGATTGCGATTCATCGGGTTTTTGCTGTTCTTTTTCACTGAAATTATTCCATTAAGTTAATTGGATACTTTCGAATAATAATAATAATAATAACGCACACACTCAACATAGCCCCGGACTAGGGAAACCCTGTGTCGCGGGTGCCATGGACACACACATAGACAACCACAAATTACACCCAAACTTACGAGAGAAATAAATGTAGGTCATACAAATATTTCACCCGGCTCTCCATCGAAATAAACGATGATTTCGCCAATGTTCAGTAAAAATAACTATGTGCGGTAGATTTGTAAAAATATGGCTTCTACTTTATAATGTTAGAACCCCATCGATACCATAGGTAAACCCGCCAATGCCAAATTGAGGAAAGCACGCGTTTTTAACTCAAAGATTGACCGGTAAATACCGAAAAAATTAACTAAGAAGAGAATCTACAACAACACAGTAGATACACAGATTATTACAAAAACAATTTTTTTTTTAATAAACTTACACAGGATATAGGAAATGACAAAGGAAGAGTGGATTAACGTTAAGAGGAAGTTGATATTGACGGGACGGGGGATTTTAGAGGGGAGGACGTCATACATAGGGGTGACGACACGCTTACAGTCAAAAAACAGGTGTTCGAGGGTACCCTCTGCCAGACAGCACTCGCACAGGGATTATACTCGAACAGTATCGCATGTCGAAATTGCCAAGTTTCCAGAGGAGCCTTTTAAATATTCTGAATTCACTGAAATAAGCACAACACGTAACTTTAGCATTTCTCAGTTTTATTCGACAAAGCTCGCTACTCACATAGAGTATTATAAAATCCTAGATATCGGTTAGATGATGTATTAGATGATCACTCTATTTGAGTAACCAGCTTTGCCGAATAAAACGGAGAACTTTAAAACGCTTCCCTGTAAACTTGGCAATTTCGACATACGATACTTTACGCAGGAGGGGTCGATATGTGAGCTACGCGAAGGCGAATAATTAGAGGTGATATTTTTCGGAATCGATTTCCTAGTGAAGAACCAAGGTTTAGTGGGAAGTTCAGGGCGGATTTTACCAGAATGTTTACCTACAGTTTGGCGGGAAGATTGCCAACGAGAGTTCCAGAAATCATTTATTTAACTTTTGACAGCTCGAATTCTAAACAATTAGTGATGTCCTAATGCGTTTCTGATTCGATTTTTTATAACAATCGATCGAATCGATTTCATTTATGAAGAAGTTTTAAACGTGAGCGAGTTCAAAAAATAACATATTGTCTGATTGGGATCGTGATGTTCCGGTACTCAAGAATTAATAATTAATGTTAATGAGGATTCAAGTGATGATTCCCGTTCATATGGAGGAGAATCCGACGATTCATTATAATAAACAATAAGAATTTACTATAATTATTTATAATTTATTTCATTTCATTAAAATTTATTAGACAGGTATCAAAATTTATCAACATGAACAACCTTCGTTACATAATCTGTTGACTACATAAATATCAGAGCTAAAGAGCATGTCGCTTCAATAAAATTAAAAAATAAAAGAGACCAGGAAGTATTGCAATTTTTTGTCTATGGTTGTATGTCAATAATTACGGAACTTCGGAGGCATGTATATGTCAAAAGCTACATAAATGATTGGCCTTAGTATAAAAGTCCTACATACGACGAATTTAACATGAGGTAGAACTCAAGATGAATCGAAAATACGTTATAGTAAAAAAATTACTTATACTTAGTTACGACAGTAAGAGTCGTATTCTAGAACTCTACTCAATGCTCAAGTCAGGACTTGAGTATGATTAAAAGCACTAGAAATCATACTCAAGTCCTTGCCATTAGGGTCGTATTTCCAGTGCTTTAAACCATACTCAAGTCTGCTCAAATCCTGACTTGAGCATTGAGTAGAGTTCTGGAATACGACCCTTAGTTTGGAGAGAAAGGGAAATATTAGACTTACGCAGCCTTTTGTCCTCTCTTAGTCCGTTTTGGCCTTTTCTCAACAGGAGAGGCTGTGGAAACGATAATATATTACTTACAATATTATTATAAATTATACTTCAATAGTAATATACAATAAGATCACATGCCATGTAACACTTCAGAAAGATGAAGTCTTCTCTAACAAATTAAGGTCCCTCACAAAAGCGCTATTACATAATTGTAACTTTTTTTATTAAAAAAATCGGCCTGAAATATTCGTGGAATGACATCTATTTGCCAAGTTTTATTGAAATCGGTTAGCGAAGGATGCGCGAAACCAGATTCCCTAGTTTGCCACCCTTTAAGCAGGACCAATACCGAGGTACCTTTTCTCAAACAAAAAAAAAAGAATCTTCAAAATCGGTTCAAAAGCCGGAGCTATCGCGTAACATACATACAAAAAATACATTCGAATTGAAAACTCCTCTTTTTTTGAAGTCTGTAAACAATAGAACAATTTGATTTATTTTAAGATATTATTAAGAAACAAATAAAACAATTGAATAGTTTTGTTGCGTAATTTTCAATTTATATTTCTAGTTTTGTTTATTACTTCGATTATTTCCTATTTTTAACCGACTTCAAAAAAGGAGGAGGCTCTCATTGGACTATGTTTTTTTTTGTATGTATGTTATGCGATAACTCCTGTATTTGTGAACAGATTTTCATTGTTGGAAAGAACCTCCATAGTGGCTCCACCTCTAAGGGTGGCTGTTTGCGCATGAAGATTAATTTTTATAAATAGCGCCTAAATTTTATTATAAGGAGCAATTATTTTAATGGTTGATTTGCTATTGTCCAATTCAAGGCGTTTTTCTCTCTCAAGATACTTTGAGTAGTGAGAACCGATTTTTTTAATCTCCTGTGTCAAGTCCCGTATAGTGGCGAACTAGGGGATGAATCCGGGTTTGCGCACTTTCCGGTAACCGATTTCAATAAAACTTTGTAATTATATGTAATTCCACGTACTTTTGAGGTCGGTTTTTTTAGTACTCTGTACTGAGATTATTAAGTTTTTAACTACACCCTAACAGGGTACATGTGATGTAAATTTTACTTATGTTTATTTTAAATTATATTAGCTAATAAATAAATGCTGAAAGTCGTTTGTTTCTTGACTGTTCTAATTTAGTGTTCATGTTTCATTTAGGCTCTTTTATATAGTATATAATTCATTAATTTGTGAAAACACAGGCTGTATAGAAGTTACATGTAACATAGTAAGTACGTTTCACTGTGTCCGGCCATTTTTAATGATAATTATTGTAAAATGTAACTAAATGTCAAAATAACAATTTGAATAACGTCAAAGTTAATATACAAATGTTGAAAATTAGACGATAAAGTCACGGTTTTGTCATTTGTAAATTCGGACACTGTAAAGTATATTTTATTTTAAAATTAATTAGCAAAGTCACAAATTAGCGTGCACATATATATTTAATAAATCAGTCAGTAATTTAAACGCGGTTATAGTTATATGGGTAGTTATTAAATGTATTGAAGTTGTTGGTTTCACATGAATAAATGAATAATAAATTCAAAGATGTTGTATAAGTATGGAATAACAAACGTACCTAAGGCACTTTCTTCTGGAGGTTTCTCATTTTCGACACTGGAAGATTCCGATACTTTCTGCAATAAAAATAGGCATTTAAAATTTTTTTTTAGACTAGTTTATTGGTCATTGTAGTTCGTAGCGTACCTTCCGGGCCCGGGTCTTCCTGGTCCGCGGCGCCTCGTCGTCGGCCTTCTCGTCGGCCAGCTTGGCGCGCGAGCTCGCGCGGGTGGACCGCGCACTCGCCACTGCGGGCCATAGTCCCTCGTGTTAACGTCACAAGTACTTTCACAAAATCACAGCGGCTGAATTCAAAGAGACAAATCGACTCATCCGAAGAACAGAGTCCTATGTAATTATATAGCGAAAAGAGAATATATTCAAACTAAGGCCTATGTAAAGGCGTTTTGAGAATTTATATATCTTATTTCGTTTCGAAAATATAAATCGAACAACGGTCGAACTGACATCCACAGCGAAGAAGAACGAACGAACTGACCTGAGATAAAGTAATCTTGCACATAGATCTTTGTTCTACGGATGAGTCGAAATACGTGGTACATTTTCAAGTAACGACGACTCCATTACGTCGCCGTGGACGTCAAGGAGGTTGAACCGAAATTTTATTCCTCAGCACCAGTCAGGACACTCAGGATAGTGAATAAGAGTAGGTCCTTGGGCTATCACCACACTTATCGAAATGGAATCGCATTAAGCTGTTTCAGAAAAAGTTTTATGTTTTGTTTCGCTCTTATTACATGGACAGAAAGTTATTTTCTGACTGGTTGAATGCGATTACCTTCCGATACGTGTGGTGATTGCCCAAGGAGACGCGTACCCGGCTTGGGCGGCGGCATGGCGTCGGCGTCGACGTCGGCGGGCTTCCGGCGGGCGGTGCGGCGCCGCGAAGACCCCGTCTCCTCCTCGCTACTTTCCGACGACGCCTTCGGGGGCGCGGCCTTGCGAGTCTCTGAGTGACGGACGACAAATGACAATACATTTTCGAAAATTTATTTACACAATAAATCATACAAAACATGTTTTCATGTACATTACTAAATTCGTCGGCGTTAGTCTGGCTGCGCTTGTATATGTTTGTGTGTGTGTAAGTGACTCGGTCGTGTTAATAGAGTGTGTGGTGTGATGAGGATGGTGCACGGGCGAATTTATTTAAGGACAGTGGTATATACAATAAATCTAGGGAATAATGAAGACTTAAAAATACATTTAATTCCAAATGCAATACCTGTGGGTGTCACAAAATGCAAAGAAAACAAAAAGAAAATTACCCTAATTACCATTAAGTAAAGAAAAATAAACATTATGAGTTACGCCCAGATGGATTCCTTCGTATTTTAGATTTAAAAACATGGAGCGAATCGTCGAATCTCTCTTGAAAATCTATTTGTTTGATCAAGCGCATTAAAGATTCTTGACAACCTAGCGATAGCAGAGTGATACTTAAGTTGGTCCTAGAAGTAGTGTAGTAAATGGAGTAGTGCGACCCCACTCACCCCCCGGGCACCCCGCTTGTAACATTTTCGAACGTGTTTAAATCTAGCTAATGCTTAAAGGTTAATAATTCCTTATTACAAGTGATATAAAATGTACACAAATATATTCTTAATTGTGTGCTTATGAGAGGCGTAAAAAGGGGATTATAGGATGTGGAAGCATGTACATTAAAGTAAAACCAGAAATTATGTTCTGTGTAATTGTTAATCCTTTTTATCACCCTTTTCTCTGGTTCCTGGCCCTCTATTTTGAAATTTTGGGACCTGTTGATTGGTTGACATCGTTTAGTTTACATTCCATTCCATTTTTAATCCATTTAATGTATTGGCATTTGTATGATGCAAACATCGAGTATATAACCAGAAATAGACACGAAATAAGCGCCGTCCATCCCTGGCAACACATCAGGCAAATGGGCCTTATATCACTTTTAAATATCAGCTCTCGTTTGCGCTGAAATCACAAATTAGAAAGTTGAAATAGTACAGCGCCAACAACTGACCTGTGTGTACGTCTCCGCACATTCCAAAAATATTCTGTATTTATTGTAATAAAGTTAATATCTCTAACAATGGGGGGTTCCATTCGGTGGTGTGGGAATAACAGCAAAACATCTAATTACAAAATAAACTGAACCACATTTAATCGGTAATTCAATATTAAATATGTATTTTTTTCAGTTATCGTCCATTATAGCAAAGCTCAAGTTAAGCTGGTCTACTTGAAGTGAAACAATTGACGACACCTTGACTGGCCAATCGGAGGGCAGTTGCCACCGTAATGATTTTGCAGAATAGTTGTCAAACAAATTAAATGACATTTCGTCTCTATTTCTGGTTATATACTCGATGCATTTACTTTTCTTTCTCTTCCTGTTCTCCACCCATCCTATTTTATTTACAATAAATGATGTGGACTGCGCCTTTCATTTGATTACTCAAAACCCCCGGCTACACCTCAAATATCCCCAGGTTGTAATACCCGGGAAACACCGGTAATGTGTCCCATTCCTTTACCAAATGCGTGAAGAAACAAGAAGCAAAGCAAATACAATAACATGAAGAAACTCACTCGGCACGGGCGCGACCGGCGGCGGCATCACCGCCTGGTCGGCCGCGGGCTCCTGCTTCACGGGCACGTCCGTGGGGAGACACTCCGACTCCATAGGCTCGAGGATGGAAATCTTCTCTTGTTTAACTGGAATGGAGAATATTTCGCCCACTGCTTCTTTACGAACGGCTCTTGATACCAAAATGCAAAATTTCCAAAAATGTTTTTTTATTCTACGATAACAGCCTTCGTTGTTATTAGATTTCGTCATCATCAACATCATATCAACCGGAAGATGTCTACTGCTGAACATAGGCCTCCCGCAAAGATTTCAAGATCAGACTTACGGACGCGACGTGCAACCATAGGTCACCCGCCGCCCTTACCAGGTCATCCGTCCATCTAGTCCATCCTTTCTGCCCGGGAAAGTATTATTGCCCGTATTACTAGTGGTAGTACCACGGGAGATTATTTTTGCCCGTGTAACTACTAGTAGCTCAGTTGGTAGTACCACGGGCAACAAAGGCTATGTTTCATGTAGTCATAAACATGGGAAAAATGTTTAAAAAAGTCACCATGTAAATGTAAATAATGAACAACGTACTCTGTATAGCAGGAATTGGTTCAGAATTCTCTTTGTCGTCATCTTTTCGCCGCCGTCCGCGGGATTTCTCAGAAACCTCTTCGCGACGTAGTTTTTGCACTAAATTCACGTTCACCTATAAAAACAGAAAAAAAAAAATAGAATACGTTTATTAGCCAGAATACAGAAATTACATAGGTCTTAAGTAAAATAAGGTACATTGTATTCAACCTGCAAGCAAATGTGCAAATGTTAATGGGATTTAATGTTCAGTCTCTATACTTTCAAATTAATGTAATGAATAGGAAATGAACCTATATTTCCGGATTTAAATCGCGTATACTTGTTTTTTCAAACAAACCGACGTTTCGGGCCCTTTACAGGTCCCATGGTCACGGTTGACTGACTAATTAATATGTTTTAGTTTATTCTAATTTATATTAATAATTAATAATAAATTGAACTTAATAAAAATTCATTCAATAAAATAATTTGTAAAACTTAATGTAGCGTAAATTGGAATGTTTTTCTTTGTAAAATTAAAAATAAGGTATTTAATTAATAACTATTGCAACTATAGTGGAAAAAATAGGGTGGTTTGCATTAATATTAGACATAACTGGTTGAAGACTGTACCATCTCAGTCAACCGTGACCATGGGACCTGTAAAGGGCCCGAAACGTCGGTTGGTTTGAAAAAACAAATATACGCGATTTAAATCCGGAAAAATAGTTTCATTTCCTATGTGTAACAATCGCGAAAACCCATGAACTCGATAATGTAATGAATTTGTAAATTCTAAGTATTCTTTATTACACAATAATTATACACATCTTGAAGCAGTTATTCTTATAAATTAATTTATAGCAACGAGGTTGGTATAAATGATTCATAATTTCTATCTATTACACACAGGAAATGAAACTATTTCTCCGGATTTAAATATATTTATATTTGTTTTTACAAACAAACCAACGTTTCGGGCCCTTGGCAGGCCCCTTGGTCATGGTTGACTGAGGTTGACCGTTAGGTCTAATATTAATGCAAACCATATCTTTTCACTATAGTTACAAAAGTTATTAATTAAATACCTTCTTTTTAATTTCACAAAGAAACATTCCAGTTTACACCACATTATGTTTTACAAATTATTTTATTTTAACAATATGAATTTTTATTAAGTTAAATTTATTATTAATTAATAATGAAAATTTGAATAAATCAAAACAAATTAAGTAGTACTGCAGTCTTATGTCTGTTTGGGATTTTTCATCAGCGGAAATATTGGATCCCAAACTGGTGGTATTTTTGTTCTAGTGGGCCTTTGAATGACTTCACCACGTGTTTTAAAATATTGAGGATGAGAGTTGACAAATACGCAGATATCCCTAATGTACATGCATGGCAAAGGCAATATGTTTAGTATTTTGAACACCGGGTTGCAACTGTCATAGATAGTTTCTATACCCTGCATGAATATTTAAACAACAAGAACACATCTATAAACAACAATATTATAAAAGAATAAATAAATTAATGTAATAATAATAAGAATCTCTAACTAGACAATTTCTTGTACCACGAATACCAGAGCAGCAGAACACTCTGGGGAACTACCCAGAACACCCAAACCCGAAGAATTTAGAAGAGTTCATTTCTCAAATTGGTCCCACCGGGAATCGAACCCGCGACTTCTGTATCGATTGGGCCACAGAGATCGTTAAATATGTATCTTGTGTATTTAAGACAAAATACATAATTAAAATAATATATAAATAATACAAATACATGATTAAAATTACTCAAAACAATTGTGCTCTCTTATAGATTTTGTATATTGGTTCTTTTTTACAGGTGTGCAAGATGTCATTATATCTAAATTACCTACTATTTTCTATAATGTTATAGTATACAATATTATAAGAGTATAGACAATTAGCAATAATTCTGATCTCATCTAGTAACTTTGATGACCATTCTTATGTATATTTCGGTGAGTGTGCCCATGAGCTCCATCAGCTCATCCCTCCCGCCCCTTTTTACCATCGGACATCCAGACGTACGGCGGGATATCATCATTACTTGGTCGATATTACCTTCAGGTTTACTAAGCGCTTTTCATCATCTTTTATTACGCGCACTGCCCAGGAATTCCCTGCCTGCCACAGTGTTTCCGAGGACATACAACTCGAGTATCTTAAAGGTGCGACTAAATAGGCATCTTCTGGGCGAGCTCGTTCCATCGTAGGTCCTATCTTTGTGTTTGTTTTTTCTTATATTAAAAAAATTAAATAATTAAAATCTCTAACTATTATTATTGATTTAAAGACCGAATGCAAAGACAAACTCATGGATCTGAACCAGTGTCTTCCACAAGTCAACAAATCTCACAAATTTTTTTACGTGTCTGTTACAATCTTTGTTTTGGGTTTAACGGTTTTTTTAACTGTCTGCCCATCTCTGAGTAACTTATGCATTACTCAGCCAGATACCTTTCGAGCTACTTTTATCAAGAAATATATAAAAATCATGATATTCAATTAATAAATCGCACTCTTCATGGAAGAATGGCATAAGTGGAATTGCGTCAAACATGTTTATTGCTCCATTAGATACAGAAAAATATAACCCACATTCTCTTCAATTGGAGGTTAGATACAGAAAAATATAATATAATCATTGACTTACAAATAAATGGACGACGGGTCTAATACAAAAACCACGAAAAAAATGTCCCAAGTCAACCTATTTAAACGTAGTGACATATGTAAAGGAATATGTAAAGGAATATGAAAAAGCTAAAACGTTGAATTTAAATTGTAATGTCATCGCAGTACTGTCTAATTTTGCTTGCTTCGCTGTCAGTCGAACAAACGAAGACTAAAGCGTGAATGACGCTTTGTATACGATTTTAACGCCCTATAAGTTCGGACACTTTTTAGCGCGACCCGACGTCCATAAAATTGTAAGTCAATGAATATAATAAATAAAATGCAATATGCAATAAATAAGATGGAGCAATAAACATGTTTGACGTAATTCCACATATAATGTTCGTTATATAAAATCATTTTGTACCAGAAAGCCGACTGTTTTTGAGAAAGCGTCGACTTAAAAATTAGTATTTCATATACATGTAACGTATACTACACGTGAACAACTGTGTACCGACTAATGACATGTATAGTATATACATATTATTACTAAAGTTTACTTACACATGGGTAGTAATTCTGAACTATTTACGTTGAACATTTGATACACTAGTGGCTGATTATGCTTTACAGAATAAATACAAACAGTTAAAAGTACTGATTTGTAATTTACCACAATTGTTGAAGATACGAATTCAACTTCACTGTCACTCAATGACTTCAGAGGTTCTTTTTTCTGTATGGAAATAAATAATTTTGTTCAATACATAGTAATTTTATATATTGTGTTATATAAGAGTGGTAAGTTTGAGTTTTAGGTCCAATAGAGCATATGAACAGCATTATGGCAACCCAAGCAACTGAGTACATACGTTAGAAATATTACTATTATGTTATTCACAATTCTGTAATAGAGTGAAGGGGTTAGGTCTTAAAGCCCAATGATTTTTTTTCAAGGAAACTTATAGCAGTAGACGAAGCGCCGGAGGTAGGCAAGGGTACAATGACATATCGACACAAGACAGGTAAAATGCCTATAGTCCATCTGTTTAGGTACTTAAATAAATGTAAACAATCTTGAGATGTCTATTTAATTATTAAAAAATAGGCATTATTTAATTTAGGTGTGCATGCTCCATCGTCGACCTCATCGTCACTTTCCATCAGGTGAGTTGGAGGTCAAATGTGCACATATTTTTTATATATAAAAAAAAAACTACGATAACTGAATTAAAACAATTGATAATGCAGTACCTAATTCACCGTCATGCGTGTCGCGCCTGGTACAATTGGGACTTGCTCAGCTTTAGCCATAAAAAGCTTTTTTTAAACTGTTTCGTGGTGCTGATTTTCAGCAAGTCCGGGTTAAGTTAAACGAAAAGCTTGTAATATTGTGTACAAATATATTTTCGTAATAGTACGCAAGCATAGTTAAGTAGTAAGGTGTGTCTAAAATACACTAGGACTCCTCGAACATCGGTTCTAGAATAATTCGATTTATTAAAAAAAAAAAAACTGCAATACTGAACTGCAACTATCCGATTAGGTTTTGAAATTACCCCAACTCCATAAGAATTCAATAGGATTTTAATACTAAAATTGTTTCTGATTTTAAAACATAAGTGAGCGGAGAGATTTTGGTTTTATTTATTTTTGTTTTAGTTTTATTTATTTGGTATCCCAACAGAACATATACAATACAATATAAAATTTAATATCTATGTTAATGTATATATCTCTGTAACAGGGAAACTCAGCATTCTTAATTATGACATCAGACTAACAAGGAACAGAAATAAACAAAAAATAAGCAAAGCACAATCCTTTCAACATAGCACATGAGTTGCCATGTATAAAATAAAAATTATAAGTAAATGTGAATTTGGAAAAAATACAACATTGAAACTTTTTATCCTTGCAACACACAAAAAAAAAACAAACAAACGATGAATTAACTGAATTAACCCTTAAACTCAGCATGCGTATGTTTTCATACGCACAATGCTCTACTACCGTAGGCTCAGCATGCGTATGAATTCATACGCATACACTACCAATTTGAAAAGATTTTTTTGGTGTAGCCAAATCCTTGTAAGTATTGATGGTTTGTACGTGAAAACAAAGCTGATGGTGTGCTCTTTCATTTGGTGTATAATACTCGTGACCTTTTGTTTGTGGTATCGAGTTATATCAGTTTGAAAATTCCCGGCGAACGAAGTGCTCGCGCGCGTTGTATGAGTTTATCAAATAAGTGTTTTCAAGTGAAAAGTGAGTGAATTTTTTTCCGATTGCTAATAGAAAATATGCATTGGACTTTTACGTAAGTAATGCTATCATAACATGAATTGTGAGTGCAGTAATACGTAAGTATTTTCACTTTCAAAGTTATCGGTACGACTTTTTCTGTGTTTCAAATACTTTATAATGTGTTATTTGACTAAAAGAAACATTTGGTTGTATATAATATGTAATAATAATACAAGTGCAACATCCTTTTATAGGATTCTGCCTATATTTCTGATCGAAAGCGAATAAATTTCGTAAATTTCTGCTTTTATTTGACATGTTGCGAAAATATGACCGCCATTTTTATACGCCATATTCGCAATAGTGCTTCCATGTCGATATAGGTGACATCGATAAGACAATTTGTGAACGAAAAGTGTAAAATATTGTTACTTTCATTTTTCCTTTTTTGTTCTAAGATTCGATAACCAAGTATCTAACAAGGTAGGTATAATTGTTAAAAAATAATAAGTGCCGCTACAATATGGATAAAATATTCCGTACCGTTACTTTATAGTAAATAATTGTAAAAATGTTTATTGTACATAATTTATATAGTAGTAAATTGTGGTCTCTGCCTACCCGAGGAAGGTACGATTTTGTGTATGTATTTAATTTATACAGTACTGATAATATGTTTTTTAGATGTGGAACCCCGGAAACGAAAGCGTGCCCAATGATTTCATTGATATCCTCAACGATGAGGAGTCTGAGTCAGATGAAGAGATCGTTGAGGAGGAAATTGAACAGGAGGGCGACCTAGCAGCGCAAATCGACCAACTGAACGTGAGTAACAGATAATATTATACTCAAACATATGTTCGTAGGTAATGTTTATATGCATAAATAAATATTAGACAATATCACATACGTTGCTCTGATCCCAAAGTAAGTAGCTAAAATAAGTTGTGTTATGGAAATCGGAAACAACGAAGTTACCACTGACACCCAGACCCAAGACAATATGGAAAAGTTAGTCTTTCTACGTTGACCCGGCCGGGAATCAAGCGCGGGACCTCCGCATCCGCAGCCCAAATTATAAACATTCATTCACATTCCTATCCAGTGTGGCCGCCCGTGTTCCCGTCATGAAATGCTCAGTTACTTCAAAGCTTATCTTAATGTGCCAATAGACTGTCCAGTGGGAATCAGAGTTGTTTAGTTAGTGCAAATTCTTTAGCAAAGTACTTCAGAAAAACAAAGAGTGACTCTGTCCTGCCTTGCTACCTGCTCTGCCAGACGCGACCCTTTTTTTTTTTGGAGTGTTGTTTGTTTCACTACAAAGTGGGGCCACTTTGTAGTGAAACAAAGAAGGGTCACATTTACTTTTGCTATGATTTATGCCACTTACGTTAACAAAACTGATTTCAAAGAATTTCGTTATGAGCATAAGTGGTTGAGTTAACCATAACAAGAGGTGTAGGCGATAATGTTGTATAGGGTAGGATAAAAAATATACATGCGTCTCACATTGTAAATTGCATATTTTTTTTAATGTAAATGTAGGTCGTAGTTACGATATTTTTGAAATATTGTGCTAGTAATAACAATTTTGTTTCATTGCAGCTATTATCTGGAAGTAATATTTTCGTGGTGCAGAGCGACGGAACTCTGGCTCCTATGGCGAGGCCAGAACCCATATCAGACGTTGTGTAAGTATTATTATGCTCTAATTAGGTACAAAACTATCACAATATTTGTATACAGATGTTCTTATTCTATAGTATCTTTCTTTTCTTTACAGAGACAGCGATACCGACGAGGAAGAGGAGCAAGCCGACGAGTTAGTTTCATGGGCTAGTAGCAGAGTTTTTTCGATAATCATTATACTGCCCATAACGCATCGACCATAATATACCGATAATATATCGATTTATCGATATATTATCGTAAGACAGTTTATGTACGAGAGTGATAACATTATATGACCTTACCACTCGTGATAAAAAAGAAATAATTTGTTTATATGATTATGATTATGATATATTGCATCTGGTTTGGTGTTGGTGGTGCAGGAGTTCATTATTTTATAATAAGTTGTCAAAAAAAACTTCGATATTGTATCGTAAGACCTTTTATGTACCCATTCGTCTCTTTTTTTCACTTTTAGTATTTAGTAGCATGGTTCATCATTTGTACGTGATTTATCGATACCTCAATCGGCATCGGTACATCACTATTTCACTCAACTTTTTCATACAAATAAGTGACGGTTTTGATTATGATTTTCTTTTATATTTTGTTTGAATGACGTCTAAAATGAGTGTAACAGAGAAAAATACAGTTATTCTGTTACAATATACGTTGTTTTATTTCACCTGAAAAATCTTTCTAGTAAGAGTATAAGACAAAAGAAAAACGAGATGCAAATGGGGTATCCCTATCTCATAAAGCGTTGCTTGTTATTATCTGTTGAATATTTCTATAATTCAATGTATGTTTCAATGAAATAAGTATATTTTCTTCAAATGAAACTAATTTATTTTCCAATTTGGTTGAAGATCAACAATTACTTGATAATACAAATTTACATTCGCTATCCGACAGTCAGAAAATGGCCGCTCAGTTCTAAGGCATTTAGCTCTGTTATCTTTATTGAAAGAAATAAAACTACTTATGTAGGATTTTTAGCTATACATTCAACATTACAAATTGTATAACTTATTTGATCGAAGTTGCCTAATATTTTCAAAAATGATTTATTTACAACCAACACCTACTATTTTTCCTTGTGTGTATGTTTGTCGAGTAATTATAATGGTATGAGGTGATAAATCCCTTTGAATTACTTACCACAAAAATACAACATTATCGCAGAATACTTTTTTTTTTATTTCAAGTAAAACCGTTTGATAGTTTTTGAATTATCGCAACTTTTGTAAATGTCGGCAAATATTTACTATCGTTGCCATGACAGCGTGCGAGCTTACGGGTGTAAAGTATGACAGATGTCAAAAGAGTATAAGGGTTAAAGTGATCTTAATAACATGTCTTCTTTAACTTTGTTCACGCGATGGCGACAAGCAACGTCACCGTATGAAACGGGCAGGCACCTGCGTTTCGATGAAACCGAAATATAATTGCAATAACTTCGCTATTTCTTAACGGACTGAAATAACTTAAAAAGTAAAATGCTCATTAATATAAAACTCGTGCGTTATAATATTTAAATATCAATTATATTTTTTGTGGTTGATCCTCATTCTTAACGTTGTTGTTTGTTGCAACTCAAAATATGTGAAATTCAAGATTATACTCTTACTGAACGTAAAATTGAAATCTCTACATGTCAATAAAACCGTCGTTACAATATTGTGACAAACCGTTTAAAGATATCTACTAGACCAACTTTTTGTGAGCTAATTCTGGACAAAACAATCCTTACTCAAAAACAGGGAATTATATTTTCCCTTTTATTTTTAAATAATTATATCGGAAGAAATTGTATAGATGTCTTTAACTTCAAACTTCACATAAATTTTAGTATTCTTTCACGAGAAGTGACTAATAACTCATTTTTATCCATTCTGAAAAAATACACTTTGAGTTAATACACTATGGTATTAACTAAAGTCTGTTCCAATCGATTTTGAACAAAAGTAAACAAACCTGTTTGGTTAAAATTCTAAAGGAATCACTCAATAAATCGAATAAGTGATACTTTCACGTATATTTCGAAGATTTCGACTTGATATATCATCACTTTTTCCAGCAATATTAATTTGAATAGCATCGTAAAATCTTATTTGAAAAATGGTAAGTGAGGTTATTATTTATCTATACTTCTATGACTTGCCTATGGTTGCATAGTGCTGTTCGAAAAAAAAAATTTGGTTCGATCAATTAAAGTTTAGTAATCGATTATTACATCGAACATTTCAATTGCAATCAAACGAGTATTTAAGTGTAAGGATTTGAAGGAGGATTTAAATTGAAATTTTAAATATGCTTATATAGGTTATGTAAGGAAAACTGCTAGTATGACTCAATTGAACAAATCGATTCATTCAATTAATTAATTGATTTGTAGTTAGCGTTACAATTGGCCACCACTAAACCGTCTATGGTCGGGTCAGTGACTTGTTTGTTTACTTTTTGTTCAAAATGGATTGAAACGAAATATATGTTAGTATGCCATGCCAGTATGACCACTTGACATAAACAACCCTAATGAATGAGAAAGTTGAAGCATACCTGTTTGCTAATATTGCTTTGTGCTTTTACTGAAGCGTTTCTCTTCTGCCGCTTGTCCACCTCAGGGCTGGACATCCCCTCTACCTCGTCCTTGCTACGTTTATTGGACACCCTTCGTGGTTGGTTCTCTGATGTGCTGACAACTTCATTGTCTTTGTTTTCTGGGGTTTTTCGGGTTTCTCCTGTAAATGTACATCTGATTTAGAAATATCATCGAAAATAAAGGTTTAGGAAAGAAAAATATCTTTGTTTGACAATTATTGCCAAAATCAAGGCTCTGTATAATGGTGCTGTGGGTACATATTATATTATATACTATTATAATATATACATCATGTAAGTTTATTATGTATGTATAAGTATGTCTATGTTTTAGTAGCAGTCGAGTTTCGTGAGAAAGAGTTCATCCAGGGTACTGCCACCTTATCTATTTCTGACCCCAAGCAGTAATGGCAGCATTACTGTGTTTCGGTTTTGAAGGGTAAGGCTGGAGAAATTATAGGCACATGGGACTTGTTGACTTTATGATGGACACAGGGGCAGTGTCCTTTAGATCTTTGCGATTTAAAGCTCTGAGTGGCACTGCAACTGTTATGGGCAGGCGTGCAGCTTACCATTAGGAGCACGACTTGTTTGTCCCGTCACTTGATATTACAAAAAAAAGTTATTAAAGCAGTATCTGTTTGAGCTCACAGAAAAACTTACAATCTTACTACAAAAATGTTTAAATTTTTTAGAAAAAGTTGTACCATAAAATCGCGCCTATCCTTTGTTTTGGGATTGGCAGCAGACACATTGTTAAAATTTAAATCACTGCTAGATGTTAGTTTAACGCGTGTTTTAGTCATCACTACAGATCACCATTCTCTTCTATTTTATTTCTGTTTTCATTCTGTTGTGGTGATTATTATGAATATCTTTAATTTTATTGATTTAAATAAAAAACGCAAAAGCTTTTTCAAAACAAACTAATGATCACAAGCACTAGACACACTGTCACTCCTCACTGATGGTCAGGTAAAAACTGTATTCCGTTCCACTTTACCCAATAACAAAATAGTCATAAACGATAAAATAAAAAAATATTTTAACGAATTCTTGCATTGTATTATACAACTTGTAAATCACTTTATATTATTTTTAAAATATTATTCAAACACTGTTCGATCTGCGTAAAATAGAAAAGAATGAATGAATTCTAGTGCTGCCGTAGATGAATATTATTTCTTTATATATATTACTTTACACAGTAATGTTATAATATATATATTAGTTTTGTGTTACGACACAATAAATACTGTTTTAAACAATATATAAAGAATTCGTCACTGATTAAGTTAACAAATATCAAAATGGCGATTATTATAATATTATTTATCTTTCATAGAAAGACTTAATGTCCAGTGCAGTAACAGTTATAGAAGTTGCGGGTGTCAGTTCAACTCTGACCACTGATGCAAAACATTTTTTGTTCTTATACATACACATTAACCTTAAGCCTAAAAATCATTAACTCAAAACTTTCGCGTTGATGACTACCACATGCCTCCTTCATTTGCTTTAAAAAGGAGAAAATCAGACTCGTTGTAAAGAAGCATTATTTATGTTGTGTTACACATTGATTTTATAAGGATATTGTGGTAAAATCTACTTACCATCATCTTCATTGATGCTTTGCAATGCCGTTATACGAGTTTTATTTCGAAACGTCTTTTCCCGGATGTTTCCTCTGCCATTTTCATAGGCATCCGCCAATTTATCAAGGTATTTTAATGCAGCCTAAAAACCACAACTTACGTTAGAAAATGACTTACCGATGGGCTTCAGAACACCAAAAAGGTTATTAAGATTATGAATGATCATGAATATCACCTTAGAATAATAACGCATAGAATGATAGTTTCATATCAAACGAACTGTCACAAGTGAGGCAAAAACCAAATTCATGTAGGCGTAAGCAACTTGTAACTACGCTCGTCGGCACGCACACAAATATACAAATAATGATGCCATGGAATAACATTTCCCTCAAAAGTGGGGAAATTGTATCTTGCTTAAATCATCATTAAGTTAAAGGTGCCTACAGATTTGCCCGACATTGTCGATCAGGTGCCTACAGATGTGCTCGGTTTTGTCGATGAAAAACGAATATAGCACTTATTTGTAAATCCAAGATGGCGGACACGATTTTTCAAAATATGCTATATGGGTATCCTTTTCGAGGTATTTGGGGACGCTCATTACGAATATGGCACTCATTTCTAAATCCAAGATGGCGGACACGAGTTTTGAAATAAATGCAATATGGGTATCATTTTCGAGGCACTTGGGGATGCTCATGACGAATATGGCACTCATTTCTACATCCAAGATGGCGGGCACGATTTTTCAAAAAAATGCAATATGGGTATCATTTTCGAGGTACTTGGGGGTGCTCATTACGAATATGGCACTCATTTCTAAATCCAAGATGGCGGGCACGATTTTTTCAAAAAAATGCAATATGGGTATCATTTTCGAGGTATTTGGGGATGCTCATTACGAATATGGCACTCATTTCTAAATCCAAGATGGCGGACACGAGTTTTCAAATAAATGCAATATGGGTATCATTTTCGAGGTACTTGGGGGTGCTCATTACGAATGTGGCACTCATTTCTAAATCCAAGATGGCGGGCACGATTTTTTCAAAGAAATGCTATGTGGGTATCATTTTCGAGGTATTTGGGGATGCTCAATGTGAATATGGCACTATTTGTTAATCCAAGATGGCGGGCACGATTTTTCAAATAATGGCAAGTTGGGTATCGTTTTCGAGGTATTTGGGGGTGCTCATTACGAATATTGCTCTTGTTTGAACTGTCGTGTTTGCCATCTTGGATTTAGAAATGAGTGCCATATTTGTATTGAACATTCCCAAACATCTCGAAAACGATACCCAACTTGCCATTATTCGAAAAATCGCGCCCGCATCTTGGATTTAGAAATAGTGCCATATTCGAAACCTAAAACCGAAAATGCCATAAGCAAACATTAAAGAAAATAACTGTTAAAATAGATTAAAAAATCGCTTAAGAATGCTCCCCTTTTAAGAAAATAAAATATTTTAATATAAAATATTTCGCTTGAGTTACGAAAAGAAAGACATATAATAAGCTATCAAAGCTGTACTGGTGGTGCCAACACTATAGTAGAAACAAATATATAAGTACTGTAAATTTGTTGCAATATGTGCTCCAATTCAAATAAAATTAAAATAAATAATTATTCAATAAAGCATGAACGCAGAGCCGTTAAAAGTATTATAAAATAATTAAGTGTCCCAATCACTTACAGGAGTTAACGAAAACATTTAATGTTTATTCGAGTAAATATTAGTTCAAAATGCGCAAATAAATCGAAATTACAGGCACCACTAAAATTTACGTAATATAATTATTTTGATACAGAATAGCAAAATGGGGAGAAAAAAAATTCGTTACTTTGCAACACTTTCGTATCTTGTTGCCGCGAAATTATTTTTCTGTTTTAATGAATATTTACATAAAAATATGAGTTGAAACGCATTACTTACTTGTGGAATGCGATGTTAGTGTCTATTTTATGTTTGTCTGTTGTATTTTTACACCCATTTACCGCACATTTCGTCATTTTTAGCAAAAAATTTTGGAGCTGTTCGCGGTGCAATATGACCTTGAGCACTAACAGCCCGCGCGCTCCTGGGACGCGTTTGGAACCCTCTAACTTGCCTCACTTAGCGTGTGCGGGCTAGGTTTCTATGCGTTATTATTCTAAGAATATCACAAACAATTAAGATAGATAGCAAAACAACGAAACCATTATGTAAATTATAGTTTTCTGTACCTGCAGCTCATCATTGATACTTTTCTCAGAACTTTTTGATATCTCAAAGAGTTTAGGCAGCAATTCATTGAAAATTGACATAATTATAGCATTCACAGTTCCACTTTCACAAAAGTTTCATAAATCCGTCTAACGCTACAAAACACTACACAATCGAAAACCGTTTGAAATTGAAAATAATGACGCGCAATGCTGCCAACTAAACAACATAAAAAGTAACAATTATATTGGGATAGCTTCGCTGCGTTCAGTATATAAAAATTATTTTGTCGTGTGTGGGGAGTTCCGCAAATCCTCTAAGAAGTATTGTAACTTTCTAACAGATAGCGCTTTATGACCACTCAAAGTACTAACAATGGTCAAAAGATGGCGTTAAAATTTTTAGTTCTACAATGATTAACTAGATGCCGCAAAAACGGACTTTTCAATAATGTTTTGCAAGCAAGACCACGAAAAACCAAATTCATTACCATTCTTTTACATCAATGTATAAAATAAATAGATCATAATATAATAAATAAGGATATAGGGCTATAATTGATTAATGGCAAGATAAAGGTAAATGCAATAATTACCAAAACATACGCATTCTGTGGCAAGTACGTAATGAATAGATAGATACCAATATGAGTTAAGGTCTTTTAAAAAATACAGTACCTGAAAACCATGAGAACCTACTACTTGTGTTCTCTCTCCTGAAGTTGTGGACTATGGCTTCTTTTGAATCTTGTGCTCAACACTGACTATGAATGGTATTTAAATTACGTACTTTTAAAAATAACTGAATTAATAGGTAATTTGAACAAATAACATAACCGTCATATTTGAAGACGGCTGTCACAAGCTATTAAATTTTTTTTATGAAAAAAAGATGGCACGGCTAAATCGCATGATGTCATAAAAGCAATCACCTTGTATATACAACGACATGGTTCTAACGTGCTCGGAGTTTTTAGGGGAGGATCATGTACCGTGTGGGGCTATATTTTCAAACAACTGCTTACCAAATTAAATTGTTTATTTATTTGTTTTGTACAATTTCCACAAACATAACGCAATGTACAATATGTACATCGTAATGGATGATGGTTGAATGGTTTACAAGTCAATCGAGTGTCTGTTTCCGATTTATGAACAAATGTAACTATAATTTAGATTGTTTTTTTTTTTGTAACAAACAAATTGTTAAAGCGATAGAATCAGAGATAATTTAAAAAAGTGACGGGACGAACAAGTCGTGCGCCTGTTGTTAGCTACACGCCTATCCATAACAGTTACAGTGCCACTCAGAGCTTTAATTTGCAAAGATCTGAGGGGCATTGCCACTGCGCCCGTCACCCTGAGACGTATGTTGACAAGTCCCATGTGCCTGTAATTTCACCAAAATACTTACCCTTCAAAACCGGAACACAGTAATGCTTACATTACTACTTGGCGGCAGAAATAGGTAAGGTGGCAGTGCTACCCTGAACGAACTCTTTCACGAGGCTGCTACTAGAAGGCTGCTTCTAAATCAATACTAATAAATCTTTCTTGATAAGCGTTCCATTATCTTTCAGGATATCTGCAAGGGGCTCTTTGGGCACAGACATTGGGGGATAACTTCATGATGGATGTTAAAAGAAGTCATTTTTATCATATCACTGAACAAATCCAGTATTTTAATCAAATACCTGATTCGGGTTTAGTGAAATGGCAAAGCACGGGTGAACTTGATTTCCCGGTAACATAATGTATGCACTTACTTAAGACTCGATTCTACCTCAGCTTGAATTAAAGTTTTTCCCGTACAAACACTGTTCATTTTGCATGGGTCGAGCGTCAGGGACACTGGCTTAATAGATAGATAGATAGATAACACGTTTATTCAGCACAAATACAAACAGAAACAAAACATTTACAATCACTTCACAGAGTATAACATAAAAGCACATAGAACATTCATTATTAATTTTATACACATTTATACAAAACATATATTGCGAGAAAAACAAATACTGTGAGAAAAACAAACAAACACTATAACAACTGATAAAATTTTAATGTACTTATGACTACAGTTTGTGCTGAAATGGCCCTGACTCAGCATAAATACTGTAGACCGAGAGAAGTCAAACATTGCTGGTTTTCTGCCAGTACCATATGGTGAGCGATCGCAGCCCAGTAAGCCATGCCACCAAAGTACATCACACGCAAATATATATACCTAACTCTAAATACTATACTATATATATATTAATTTCAGAATTTATTTTTTTTACAAATGAAGTTAAAGCCAATTAAAAAATGTATATCGTATACTACACGTGTCCTACTTAGTACAGTTGATGTTAAAAAAAATCATTGGTTTAAGTAAAGTACATATTGAATACAGCGTTTTTAAACTTCGAGGCAAGTTTGTGTTTTTTTTATCTTGAAAATTTTCACGAATCGTACTTTCACACTGTATATCCTCAAATTTGACTATATTTTCTTTCCAAGGTGATTGATTCAACACTTTCATTGTTATCCGGAATCAATCACTTACATCGCAATTTAACTGCCTCTGTGGCCGAATGGTTACCATGCCGGACTGCCATGCAGAGGTCCCAGGTTCGGTATGGCCTACATTTATTTCTCTCGTGAGTTAGGGTGTAATTTGTGGTTGTCTACGTGTGTGTCCATGGCACCCGCGACACAGGGTTTCCCTAGTGCGGGGCTATGTTGAGTGTGTACGTGTGTACGTTATTAATCAAAGCCATTTGGGGTAGTATAGACTGTGACGTTCGTAACCAGGATGTGGTAAATAAAATACGATTTAAACAACAAACAAATAAAAAGTTTATTTAAAAATTTATAAACCGTGTTCAAAGGGCCTAAATTTTAGTTTGATTTCACGTACGTAGTTCGGTACTCCCTGGACACGGTGGCGGCTGCGGGGTCTTCCCTATAAGGAAGCGCCGGGGTTCTGGTACGTATCGGGAAACGCCGGGTCAGTGGGTTGTGGTTTCCGTCCAAGCTCTAGGCAAGTAGGAAGGCTGGAGCGGTGCAGTAGGGTCGTAAACGACGACTGTGGCTATTCTAGCCGTGGTATAACACCCTGTGAATAAATGTCCACAGTGAGAATATGTTGGAGAACCTCCGCTGTTTGTGAACCCCTTTTACTATGTGCACCTAATATTATAGGAAGAAATCGAAAGCAATTGGTGTTCACTATCAGAGCGGAGTTACATAGTTGAAACAGAATGACTTACATTTCTTTTTCTTTTATACAGTGAGTTACAATGAAAAATTAGGCAATAAAAGATTGCCGTGAAAAATTGTTAAGGCGCTTATAAATGCACAACCAAGAGGCTGCGGACAAGCACTAACTTAGGACTAAACACTGCCTAACACATATAATATACCTATGTTTGTTCAATACTTACCATATCGGGGTGCGAGATTACACTTTTTAACTGTATTTAAAAGTCTTCCAATTACGTTGGAAGTTGAGAAAAGATTGTACTCAAATAAATTTTATTCTATTCTAACCCGTAATAAGACACGCAACGGAAAATTTGGGTACAACTGATATAGGTCCGCCGCGGACAAGGCGAGATGCAATTATCACCGTCCTTGGTCTGTCGTCTATCACCAACGGTCGTGATGACGATAAAAAACGGGTTCATCGAGAAGCTTTCATATGAAGCGGTCGCTCGTCCAATGAGCGCTCTTAAAAAAATGGAATACAGACGCGAACAAAAATGTTAACTATTACGAGCTATTCCTCGACCAACAATAACAATACGTTACACTGCCGGGTTCGGGTCCTTTCTAACGAGTTGTAATTTCGCAATAAAATGTTAGAGTACAATAAAATGATAACTTATGTACATGCAACATTACAAGACTCTTAAATAATTCTTAAAACTACTAGTGCGGTAATATATGTGGCGCGGTCTTTTGGGGTGAGCGGTCTCCACGACGAGCGCCGAAATAAAATGCAATAAAAAGGCCGATGTAGCCGAGATTCCGTTTGGAACGAAGGCGGTACAGTCGGCAGAAATAGTTTGTTGAATAAGTAATGTGGACGACGCCGCGGCGTCTCGTCAGGACCTACTTTTGTCTATCGTACCGTATCATATCGTATCGTATCGTATTGTTTTTGTCGACTCGCAGGTGAAACAAATGATATCGCATATTACATATATGATTTAATTTTAGAATATGACAGAACAAAAGAAGCTAGAGAGCGATGGTAATTGAAACAAGTAGGTATAAATTCTGCGCCTGCCAGAGTGTACTTTTGCAATAATAATCTCAGTGCAGAGTACCTACTAAAAAAATCCGACGTCATAAGTTCGTGGAACTACATCTATTTGCCAAGTTTTGTTGAAATCGGTTACCGGAAAGTGCCCGCAACCGGATTCATCCCTTAATTTGCCTCCCTTAGAGGTGGAATATCGAAGAAAATATTCCACTCTAAGGGATTTAAATGGGCCCACTTCTGAGGTACCCTCTTCCCATTAAAAAATAAACAATAAAATCGGTTCACAAATGACGGAGTTATAGCGTAACACACATACAAAAAAAGTCGAAATGAGAACCTCCTCCTTTTTAGTCGGTTAAAAAAAATTGTCAATAGAAACTTCTTCAGATGTAGAAGCAAGTGTCAAAGATTGCAGTACTGCTTTTAGATTTGTCCAACGAGAGTTTGTTAGTTATCTACGCGTCAAGACTATTCTACGTAGCATTGCATAACTCGTCTCCTGAAAGTAACACACAATTATGATAGAAAATATTTTTTTACTGAACATTTTATATTATATGTATGTTGCGGTGTATATACTTACACATTCACGCCTTTGGATTACTATCGGGGAAGAAACTGTTGATCTACACTTTAAACGATCTTGGCAAACCTCTTTTGCTTCACTTGCATTCATAAATTTTCACATAAGCCTCTTATGCTTTTCACTACGCTCTCCAGCTTTTTTAAGAACATTCTCAATTTCTTCTGAATGTTTTTAAAGATCGTCTTTTTACAATGCTTTCCATGTTAGCTCTATATATCTTTTTCCCTATTCTATTTGCATTTATTCCATCAAGCATTACGATAG